ATGACTAAAAAAATGTGCACTAACCAACCACACAGACCACATCTTGTGATAATATATCTCCTTTTTTGTATGATACTTTCCATAGCTGGGTTTTTTCTTTATTTGTTATGTTTTTTTTCTAGACTTGTTTATTTGTTTTTTTCTGTTTCCATTCTTTCATATTATTTCCCTTTTTCTTTACTTTTTTTTCAAAATGCACAATTTTCTCAAGTTGATGAACTTTTTTCAATTTTGATGCATTTTTTCCAAAATCAACGGATTTTTTTCAAACTGATGAACTTTTTCAGTTAATTCTTTTTAAATACAATGAATTTTTTCAAAACTGATGAATTTTTTCAAAATCAATGATCTTTTAAAAAAAATGATAAACTTTTCAAATTCAACAAACTTTTATCAAATTTGATGAACTTTTTTAAAAAAATTGATAAACTTTTTAAAATTAATGAACTTTTAAAAAAAATCTGTGAAACTTTTTCAATGCATATTCTTTTCCTTTTGTGCGTTTGTTTTCGGTTTTTTTTCTAATGCTATCGAGCGAACCATGGGGAAATAAAATGCCAAATCTACATGGGCTGGCCCAGCATAGTAGGCGAGTGGGTGCCAGGGAGTTTCTGTGGTGCTTGAAGCGTATGGTCTGGCTCGACCTACGGCGGCGCGTGCATGCGACATGCGCGTGAATGGTCTGTCAAAATCCGGTCTATTGCCTTGCAAGGGCACAACTTGGTCCTCCTGTCGCACTTGCGTCGCCACCGTAGTCCGCTCCATCCCAAACACGGATGTGCACTAGCAAAAGGGAGAGCAGGTCTCCGAAATATCTCACCCTTGTGATCCTGGACCAGGGGAGGGTGAATATGGTTTTTGGGAAGCGCTCCGCATGACTGCTCAAAATCGTCAAGACACGACGTCTTCCACCAAGTTTTGGCGCTGCTGCGCACCATCGTCACCACCAACATCATCATCAATAACATCACCGCTCCTGCAGCAGCCACAACTACTTCATCTAGCAACGATCAGTACGTGCACCGTGATCTTCTCTTGTCTCTAATTATGATAGTTGTTGCATGTGCGATGGTGTTGTTTCGGTCATCTAGTATGCTAGAGCTTTACATGCTAATTAGTCATGAATTATTTAATAAAATTAATCATGAATTTTCCTAATATTCCAGCCGTCACAAGGCTTGTCCATGATCTCATCAAAGTCAGGACCGCCTTGCTCGTTTTTATTCTGCGAGTGGAAGTGCCGGGGTGTCCACGCCATGACAGGGTCATCATTGTTTTCTGCTTGGCCACCCACGCTTCCTTGCCAAATGACACATCAGACGAGGTCATTGAGAAGCTTCGGCAAAAGAAAGAACCAAATGAATGCAATGATGATCTTACGAAGATTAGACATGTGAAAAGAGTAACTGTTCTACTATCCAAGAAAGGTTTACAGGAAGCATTTGGTGTGATTCTGCCGCAATGGACAGGGATGGTGAAGCATGCATGAGGACGGTGCAAAACTGTTGGAGCGTCCTAATTTGGGATTTGACAGTGTCGGTGATCATCCTCCCTCGATCTCCGTTGCAAAGTGCGACGGCGACCTTCACTATTCGGAGTTGCTGGCGGCGGGTGGCTCTTGTCGCGGCTTGACTGTCTGCTTGTGCGAACATAGCCTTCACTTGCGTGGCACCTCACGTCAAGACCATGCTATGCATGTAGTTGGTGGGGATGTGGAAAGTGGTGGCGACATCACAGCTGCTGTCAAGTGATGGTTGGTGCGGATATGGTTGCTGTTGTAGATTGTGATCACCGGCTTGATCGCTTTGGAGTTTTTCTTTTTCTTTTTGCCCCACTAAGGCATAGCTTCGGTCATGTGTGACATTGCTAGTTCTCGGTGTGTGGTTTTTTTTGTGTCCGTTGGGGTTGGTTGTGTGCATCCTATCTATGCAGAGGCCGGGTGTGTGCTCACTGTGTTTGTATCACTTGATGCTTCATTTTGAGCTAATAAAATGCATCCGTTGTCGAAAAAAGGAAGCATTTGGTGACTGAAAGACTTGCTACTACCCTAGCTATAGGTAAGAGTTGGCTGTTTTATATAGTATACATATGTGGAACTAAATAAGTTGTATGTGATGGATAAGATTCATTTCGTTTTTACATTGTTCAACGTATTTGTTCACCCTTTATCTAAAGAAAATGTATTTGTGCACCTAGAAGCGCAAAGTACACATAGCATGTTTTATTTTTGACTTCCCATGATTCTATATGCAGGCCCTGTGATTGTCAGAAGCTGGAGCTGTTCCATTTTCTGAACGCCAGCATCATCTCAAGGGCTGCAGAACAGAGCTCAACGTTTGCAAGCAATATGTGGTTTTCAGAGTCACAGCAACAATGAATGTTACACAACGTTAGCTGAAATACAAGACTGCACCGATGATAGGTTTGAGGGAAAACTTTTAATTATGAATTCAGTTCTCCTAGCTGTTTGGAAGCCATACCCAGGCTTCAGGCGCCATATTTATTGATTTATTTATTTATTTCAGGAGACGCGAGCCATACATGGTGTCAAGCATGGAAATCTAAGTCTTGTTAGTAGCTTTGTTTTCTTTCAACATGTACAAGATTTTTGGTCCGTGATAAAGCAGGCTGAAAACATGACATGTAGCAGGCTGAAAACATGACAGACGTGGCGGGTGTGTTGCTGATGAATGTGGATGGTATGTAATGTTTTTTTTCGTCGTTCAATTTTTCAGTTTCTTCTTAGTTTGGCTAGATACAGTACGAAACTAGAATGGGCCAAAATGCAGGGACATCGTGTCTTGTAGTGGGAACAATATATTTTCTGAAGGAAGGAAACAGAGTAGTTATTGAAAAAAAATGCCAAGCTGCAGTAAGGGTGTGTTTGGATTGTGGCCAAAGTGCACCTTACCAAAATTTTGGTCATGACCCAAAGATTGGTCTTTGTTTGGATGGTTACCAATTTTTTGGCATGAATGAACTCTAGCCAACTCTAGTTCATTTTTCTTGCCAATGTTGGCCAAATCATGGGCAACCAAAACCTTAACCAAAATTTTGGCTAGCCAATGCTTTGGTGGGGCAACCTTGGGCACAAACCAAACACACCCTAAATGGCAGATCCTGATGATAGCCTAGCTTCATCCTCCACCTTCACCCGTGACACGTTTCTCTTCTTATTGTTTCTTGACAACAAATAGAGCATCTATGCGTATGTATGTGTATGCCCTGTATATATCTTCCTTAATAAGAGATATAAAAGATAAGAGGTAACTCTACTCAAGCAAAATCTTTGGGTGAAGGCAATCCGTTAGAAATATTGCTGCCAGATAGAGCATCTCAAGGATTTAGAGGTTCATTCAGTATAGGCATGACCGAGGTCAAGAAGATGAAGCTGAAAATTAGCACTGAATTATGCAGATGTTATTATCCACATTAGCACTGCAACATTTTACAGCTTTCATTGGTACTGTCCATGGGGGCACAAGTTCTGCATCTCCAGCATCTTGTTGCTGCAACAGGTGCATTCGTTTGAACGTCGTTACTTCCATTTGCCATGCCAAATTCAGCCTCTCTGAACCCAACAGGTCAGAAGATATATAAGCTCAAATACACGTGTATCTTGTGCCCACACAAAATCGACCAGGTCCTGTAAGATACGGTACAATCGACAACCTCTGCATTCTCTGTCGAAACTGCAAGTAAATGGCACCCTCTTTGGGTTCCTCGCCCTGCACTGCATATATATAGCTTAGCTTATGTCTTGTATAGCTCTCTGCTAATCAACGCTCTGTGTGAACAAATCTCATACTAATATTAGAGCTATTCCGAGCGTTGCCAAGTTGTTGAACAGAAGCACAAGTAGTGTGTGCAGTGCAGCAGCTGGGCTAAGCTGACCAATCAATCAGGCAAACATCCTCCTTTTTTCTCTCTAACAGTAAAAACCACGCTCTGTCACTTGTTCAATTCCTTCTGTCAAATTCAGGCTATCTAACACAATTAATAGGCGAGACAACACACATCCAATACCTACGCATGATTTGTCAGGTCATGTAAATTCAATACGATCAACACCTTCTACTCGCATATATATATTCAGTGGATAAGATCTGACGTGAAGATAAAAGGCCCACAGTACTGACTGGTGATGGAACTTCATCCACCACCCATAGCCCCAGCCACTACTGCCTCCCTCTGCATTCGCGCTACCACATGGCCACTTCTTCGTCTGCAGTGTTCATCTGCCCCTTTTCGGAGATAACCTGTGTTCCAGCAGCCAGTGATGTTTTGGGGGGTAGAATTGACGCTGAAGACCATTTCTTGATGCGAACAAAACGCTTGGCATCTCGCCGGTAGCTTATCGCTGCAGCCTACGAAGAACAGAATGATGAACAGGTCATAAATTAAAGGGTTTCACAAGGTCAGGAGATTCAGAGAGTCATTAAGATCCTGCTACTACTACAATGTTATGTAGTTCCAAAGTCGAACCACAGGCCACAACTATCAAGCGAAGGAAGAGTCCTTATGCAGCCACCTTCCATGCAGATGCAAAGGGACAAAATACTGGACATAGCTTTCGGTGATAGTCTGAGATCTGAATAGAGATGAAGTTGCATCCGCTGGGCAGTACAGTTCTCATGTGGCTGAAAAGATGATCATGACTGACATGAGCTCCCGCTTCCAGCAAACCGGCAAAGTAAGCAGTGTGCGCCGCTATCACTTCCACGTGGCAGTGGCCGTGCGCCAGCGCGCGCGCACGAGACAGAGATCACAGAGAACGGAGCAGCAATATGTCAAACTAGAGAAGAAGTTATGGCAAAATCAGAATTTATATTCACATTAATTTTGTTGTCTCCGTCGTAGCGTGAACTTCAGACACAAACCCGTAGTGCCAAAATTTTGTTCCTAGAAATTATATACAGAGTCTAAAGCACCTCCCAAATCCCAATCTGCCTATGATGTGACAAAACTATAACTTGCACGGGAAACGCCATTGTGTTGGTTCACTCGCACTCGGGAATGGCGGTCAGATCGGGTGCGAAGCGCGATTGCATCCTCCCGGCACTCTTCGCACGCGCCACCGGCCGCCGCTTCGTCGCCAGCGCCGGCACGGTCTTGTAAGCGACGGTCTCGTTCACCTCCTGGGGAGGAGCGAAAACGAGCGGCGCCACGGAGCCAGCGCGCCTCCGTCGACCAGCGGTGGCAGAGGATGCTGCGGTGTTGGCCTTATTAATGAGCGCCGCGGACGCCCTGACGGCGAGAGCGGCGAGGTCCTCGGGCCGCAGGCCGTTCCGTAGAGCCTCAGCGGGGAGAACGAAGTATATCTGCCCCGGGCGGAGCTCCTCGGCCTCGGCCACGGCGGCCACGGGGCCATCGAACCCCATCTCGTCGGCGTCGCACAGGAACCAACCGGCGTCCCCAGCCACCGAGTCGTCGAGCACCTGGCCCGCTGTGGCCGGGCGCGGGTACTCCCGCAGCTCCCCCGTTGGAAGCAGCACCTGGCCAGCCGTCCAGGCAAGCTGCCCCTTTGCCCGAACCGCCGCCGGCGCGCTGCCGCTGGACAGGCAGAGCCCCATTGTCACTCTTGGCGTCTGAGGTTAGGTTGGAGTTGTGTCTAGGTGATCTTTGTGGTGTTGTTGTGTGAGCTTTGGGTTGGGAGACGGCGATGGCGATGGAGGAGGAGGCTTGGAGGGCCAGATATATATAGGAGTATATGGGTGGACTCGATCGGATATTTGCTTCGTTTTCCCCAAACCGTTTGGGAGTGGAAGCTGCGTGTACGTGGTGGAGTATTGTATTTCGGTTTTGGTATGGTGCGTATCCATCTATCCACCATTCTTTGATCTTTTGTAACCATATATACATACGTTATGGTGTAGTTTGCCGATTGAGGATCTGATCGCTCTATTTTTTTTAATCCTTTTTTCATCTACATATAACTTTGGTCTTATCCGACTTTGCTATTTTGTGGAGTGTTTTTATGTGTGTGCATCCTAACTATGAGAGGCCGGTGTGCTCATTGTGTTTGTATCTACTTGATGCTTCATTTTGAGCTAATAAAATTCACCCGTAGTAAAAATATATATGCATCATGTAACCACAGCAGTTATGATAATCTGAAATGAATAGCTAGATAGATTGCTAAACTTACACTAGTCTTGTGCTCCAACTTGTGCAAAATAAGCCACCGCGTCCTGGCACAGATTATGTGTTCTTACTCAAAATTCAGTAGGAAAGAAAACAATAAAACTAGTGCATACATGTGGGAGAGTGATTTTCTATTATGCATGTTATTCCGTTCATGCATGCATCACGGCATTACTTTGAGGTTTGTGCTACATTTTTTTATTTTTTTGGCAAATTTTACCGTGTTTCAAAGTACTAGATAATGTTTCATTGGGTTATTTCTTGTTTCAATCTGCATTGTCATGTTTCATGTGTACCAGCAAGTCCACGCTAAAACAAATGCACCCATAGTTATTGGTGCACAAAGAATCGTTATGATACACTACGAAAAAGCCAAAACCCAATGAAAAATCATGTAACACTAGAAAACAAAACAAACTTTGCCACAAACCAAAAACATGCACAAATCTTAAAGTACCTACAGAAGATGGATACACACATGAGTGAATAAAATTTCTGTTGAGTAAATTAGCAATTTCTTGATTAATTTAATTCAAAGATAAATCATGAGCATGATATTGACAATATTAACGATATACTAATATTTGATCACGTAAGCGACAGGGCAAAAGTGCAGTCTTATCTGCTACAACGTCCAAAGATAATCCAAAGCTAAAGCTTACTTCTATGAGTGCTAGTGGCATGGATGTGTGCATACCTGGTGTACGTCCCTACCACGTCCTAAACAACAGAGCAAAAGTGTAGTCTTATCTGCTACAACGGTATAGTGTGGATGTCCGTAGTGTCTGTCCCCACCGTATCCAAAACAAAAAGAGCAAAGTGTGCGCTTTGTTTCCGCGGCTATGAAAGGATCTGCCACGACATCCTTCATAGTATCATGGTTGTGGCTGACCTGATTGCTCTTTACACATTTCTTGATTTCATGTAATCCCTGCGGCGAGTTTATTATCGTACTTGAGTGCTTAAGATGACAGTGCATGCGCTAAAGAAGCCAGTGGTCAATAGTTAATCGGTAGTACCGTAGTAGTAGCAGTAGTGCTCTTTGTTTTGTTTATGTGCTCTTTCTTGGTATATCTTGTACGTGGATTCTGAATCCAAGTGCGCATTGAGGTATCATAGATTGATGTGATTAACCACATCACTCCCAGGGGCTGCTTTAAAAGTTTTCGGAGGATGTTCACATGTTTTGAACACGATCCAGGACAGAGAGAATTCTTTAGGTTATCCATCCTGTAAATTTGTGCCAAGCAATTATACCTCAGTTGCACACTGCTGCAGCAGCAACTGAGTAGTTGCATGGATAGATAGCGGCATGCAAAAAGAGTGCGCTCACCAAGATAACAGATGACGAAGGCATGGGTAAGCCCAGGATAACATATATGGTAGTGAAAGTTCCCTTCTAGTGTGTGTATGTGTATTATGTTATAAAACGCGTCCCTACTGTCCATTAAAAAAGGGCGAAATCATAATCGCATATTTATTAGCAATGTCTAGTTGAACTGAAATTGGTACCTTGGAACGACCTACTTAAGCGGTTGAATAACGTTCATCTCATGGAGGTCGGGACGAGTTCTGTGGGAACCTTCTCATAACGGCACACTCCTGGTTAGATCTTAACCTGGAGTTGTGTAAATTAAATATTCCTCTAAAAACTCATAACATTTTGTTGGTTTTTAAGCAAGGGCTTTGTTGTCATAAAAATAAATAATCTGCGACATCGGTTCTGGTGTGATTTAGAACAAAATGACATCAGATTTTTCTTTACAAGTATTGATGCTTAGCGTTATTTTCAATAATTTCTTAGTTTTTTGGCCGGACAATAATGTCTTTAGTTGTATGTACCAGACGTCAGATCGCTGGACCAGAGTCCATGAAACCCTCTGTCCTAGTGAAAACTCATGGATCACAGTTGTGAGCGCTAGTGGCGTGAGTGGTGCTGGTACGTGGTGTGTGACCTTACCATGTCATAAACATTTGAGCAAAAGCGTGATGTTAGGCAAACTCCAATGCACGATATCAAATGGACGCCCGCTTTATCTAAATTTCATCCGTTTGGGATGACAATGCGTAGCAAAATGGGCATACGCGTCCGACTTCTGTTGGAGGCGCCCAACGCGGCCAACCACCCTAAAATGTCCGTCCGCGCGTTTGCTCCCGCGGTCGTGCTACAGCAGCATCAGCTCGCGCCACCCCCACGCCCTCGGCCTCGGCCGCGCTGGCGCTTGCAAGAGTGCACGCGACCGCGCCCGCCAGCACCGCAGCCCATGCGCTCGGCAACCTCCCACGGTAGCACACACAGCACGCCCGCGTACATGCTTTCGCCCTGCCGCCCGCCTCCGCGCCCGCCACCCGAAGCTGAGACTGCGCGCCCTCCTGCAAGTGTGGCCGCGCGCTCACGCCCTGCCGCCGCCCGCTGCAGCTCACCGCGGCCGGCCTTCCCGCCTACTCGCGGACCCGCCTCGCCCACGCGCCCGCGTCGCCGTCGTCTGTATCGTGCTCTCCCCCGCTGCTCTCGCATCGTGCCCTCGTCCTGGCGCTCATGCCACGCCCACCCATGGTCCCGCCTTGCAGCCTGCTCGTGGCCATGCCTCGCCTGCGTGCCTGCCGGCAGCTTCTCCCGCGCCGCCGTCGCCCGTATCGTGCTCTCCCCGCTGCTCTCGCGTCGTGTCCTCGTCCTGGCGCTCACGCCATGCCCGCCCGCGGTCCCGTCTACCCGCCTGCTCTCGGCCACACCTCGCCCGCGCGCCTTTCGGCAGCTTCGCCCGCGCCGCCGTCGCCCGTACCGTGCTCTCCCGTTGCTCTCGCGTCGCTCCCTCATCCTGGCGCTCGCGCCACGGCCGCTCGCTAGCAGCAGCCCGCCACGGCCACTGCCGCGCTCGTTCTAGGCCGCCGCAGCCTTCGCCGCGCGCTTGCCGCCGCACTTGGCCTAGCCCGGGGCAGCAGTAGCCGATGTGGGGCAGTGCCATGCCTCTGGAAGGAGCACGCCGACGCGGGGTAGCGCCATGGCGACGCGACGTTCTCGTCGAGCTGGAGCATGCTATGGCGACGCATGTGCTTCGGCGAGGCGACGCGGTGGACGGCAGCGCGAGGGCAGCCATGGCAGTGCGGCTCCGGCGAAACGAGCGAAGGCGACGCGACTCCGGCATCTTGCAGACGAGAGAGGGACGAGAAGAAGGAGAGAAAAGGTGGGGTAGGTGGCTAGCATGCGGGCCATGCACGGACGCGAGGACGCACGGACGTCCGCTTGCTGGCCATATGGTCTGGAAATATGGTCAAACGGACGCTAAACAGAAAAAATATGATGTAGGGTCGTCCATTGGGTCGTTGTCTCAGTCCGTTTACGCCCAAACGGACACCCGTGGATGATTTGGGGTCCTGCATTGGAGTTGGCCTTATTTACTACTACAATATAAAAGAATGGGTTTATGTGGGGCGCGCCCCCACGGTATCTGAAAGGAAAATAGCAAGTGCTTTATTTCCTTGGCTACGAAATGATCTGCCACGACATCGTGACTGACGCTGATGTGGGTTGCTTTTCTTATGTATTTCGTGAGCGCTTAAGATGACAAGTAGTCAAGTGGGTAGTACTAAATCATATGTTGAATGATAGTAGTTAGTAGCAGTAGTGCCGTGTTTTGTTTATTTGCAGTTTCGTGGTATCTTATAGCCACGGTTGACCGTAAGCTGATTGGCCGATTGATTGGGAGCATACTAACGAGTTTTCCAAACGATCCAGAGTAGAATTGAGTTGTTTAGTTTATCCATCCTATAAAGTTTCGTCAAGCAGTTATAGCATATCCAACGCTGACCCGTAAATGAACATTGTAAATGCCCGTTTTTATGTCCGGACGTGATCCACAGACATGATGTAGGACTCGGTGATCCAATGCTTTTTCCATATTAATCCAGTTCGAAGATAGAAAACAGAGGAGGACAATGTGGTTACTTTTGATTGGTCAAGTGGATGTTCAGAATCTAGCAAACCTTCCCCAAATTTGTTATTAGGATACCGGAATCCATACATCCAGACTGCTAAGCGGACATTTAAGGGTCTCTGTTGGATGTCAAAAGTGGTCCAAACACTGCAGTCCGGATGTATAGAGGAGTTTTGAGGGTCTATTTTAAAGATGCACTTAGACATCAGACTCTGAAGTGCACCAAACTAAATAGTATTTTGGTGTCGAGTGTGGCCATTTGGCTCCCAGGCTCAGCTGCGCCCATGGTGAACATTAAATTCAAAACAAATACTAGTTTAAAAAAAAACAATTTTTTTGCATGGAAGATGTTTAGGAGCGTTAGGTCCGCTTCAATTTCAACTCATTTGGCTATCTGAGTAGCTCCTGGCAAACATGATAAATTTGGGGTCTGTAAAATACTCCCTCTGTAAACTAATATAAAAGTGTTTAGATCACTGAAGTAGTGATCGAAACGCTCTTATATTAGTTTACGGAGGGAGTAGTTTACTATTCATGTATGTCTAAATGAGCTGAAATTTAGAGCTAACCTCACGCACCAAATTATCTTCCATGTTAAACAAATTTGATTTTTTTTAATATTTCTTTTGAATTTTCTTTTAACCGGGTGCAGAAGAGCCCGGAATCAGAGATGAATATTCGGTTGGTATCCGCGTACTTTTTCAATACCGATTTATAACATAGTTACTTGGGCACTGGCTAATATCTTCCTTATTATCATAAATATAAACACTAGCAAATATCTTGATCTAGAAAAATGTTAATCCCTTCGTTTCTAAATATTTGTCTTTCTAGAGATTTCAACGAGTGAGGTCCTTTTTTTTTAATTAATTTTGTTGTCTCCGTCGTAGCGTCTTCAGACACAAACTCGACTAACAGGACAAAATTTTGTTCCTACAAATTATACAGAGTCTAAAACACCTCCCTGTCTGCCGGGGAAACGCCATTCTGTTGGTTCACTCGCACTCGGGAATGGCGGTCAGATCGGGCGCGAAGCGCGGCTGCATCCTCCCGGAACTATTCGCACGCGCCACCGGCCGCCTCTTCGCTGCGAGCGCCGGCACGGTCTTGTAAGCGACGGTCTCGACGACCTCCTGGGGTGGGGCGAAGACGAGCGGCGCCACCGAGCCGGCGCGCCTCCGCCGTCCAACGCCGGCAGACGATGCTGCGGTGTTGGCCTTTTTAACAAGGGCCGCAGACGCCCTGACAGCGAGAGCAGCGAGGTCCTCGCGCCGGAGGCCGTTCCGCCGAGCCTCAGCGGGCAGCAAGAAGTATATCTGCCCCGGGCGGAGCTCCTCGGCCACGCCCACGGCGGCCACGGGGCCTTCGAACGGCATCTCGTCGGCGTCGCACAGGAACCAACCGGCGTCCCCAGCCACCGAGTCGTCAAGCGCCTGGCCCGCTGTGGCCGGGCGCGGGTACTCCTGCAGCTCACCCGTTGGCAGCAGTACCATAGCCGTCGAGGCAGGCTGTCCCTTTGCCCGCACCGCCGCCGCCGCGCTGCCGCTGGACATGCAGAGCCCCATTTTCTTGGCGTCTGTGGTGATCTTTTTGTTGTGTGAGCTTTGAGTTGGGAGACGGCGATCGCGATGGAGGAGGAGGCTTGGTCGGGCCACTTATATATAGGAGGAATATGACACAGTGGCGTTTAGCAGGGGCCAGGGCAGCCTTTTCCTCAAACCGTTTGGGAGTGGAAGCTGCGTGTACGTGGTGAATACGTACAATTTTCTTGTACGTAATCACTGTGATTTTACGGTCATTTTACTGTTAATGTGATTATGTATAAAAATGGAAATTGAATCAGTACTTATTGACTTATCAAAGAAAGCTTGATTTTATTTCTTATTTAAGTCAATAAGACATGGGCCAGTTGAGGTTGTCCTCAAGGAAAAATGGCCTACAAGAACTGTTGTAAATGATCCATTCCGTACTATTGGAAACACCGGTTGAAAAAAATTGATAAAACCGAAAACAGACGATGTGAGGTGGAGGTATAGGAGGAAAGAAATAACGGACGACACAACCATAAGTATTATTTAGGTGCGCGAAAAAAATTGAGGTGAAATATTTTTTTTAAGTTGGAGAAAAAAGGGAGTTGATGGTGACGGTATATCGCCACCTCTCTTGTTATACGAGACACGTGGGATATAAGTGAAAATCGAAAGGTTTTCATTTTTCAACGTATAATTTAAGATGTATGACACTATCATTTACAGATATATTGTCACATCCCGAGCTTCTGGCATTGCTCTAGCCTAGCTTCATGTGTGCATCATGTCTATATTTTTGAAACTTGAGTTGAGGAATATTGGAAGCCTGAAAACCCTAAATAAAAGAGGGGCAAAAACCCTAGAAATCTCATTCATTGCTCCAAAATGCTCTTCTTAAATGTTTGATAATTTTTGGTAAGGGTTCTGGTCCCAACCAAAATATTAAACATTTTTAAGGATTTATTTTTGGGACTTTGGATTTAATTCATTAGCTATTTGAATTTGAATTATATTCATATAATTAGAATATAATTTCAAATACCCCCGAAATATTTATAAGCTTTTGGAAAAGTCCATCTAGCAATATAAAATATTCAGAGGAGTTTTTGGCATTGTTTAAATTATTATTTTTTAATTCAAAACAGTGGCAAAAGTTTAAATAAAACAAAACAGAAGAAAAAAATAAAAAGAACAGAAGCCTACCTGGGCCACTTACCTGTAGCCGGCCCAGCTGGCCAGCTCCTCCCGCTGGCCCAACCCACCGCTACTCCCCCCCTCTGTCGTCTTCCTCCCCGACAGGGGAACGGCGTGTGCCCGACGCTCGCCGGCACGCGCGCGTGCCACCTCCCCCCCTGCTGGCCACCTCCTGCTTCCCCGGACTCCCTCGATGCCCCGGACGAAGCCACGCAGCTGCCCCGCACCGCTCTCACTCTCCCTCGCCCTCCTCTTCTCCCCCTGCTCTCTCTCCCTCTCACCCGAGAACCACCGCCGCCGCCGACGGGCATCACCGTAGCCACCGGCCTCCCCTCGCCTCCCCGACACACGCGGAAGCTCCGCTCCTCCGCCCTGAAGCTCCCCGTCAAGCCGTGCCCCTCCGGACACCCCGTGGAGCCGTCGCCGTCGCCAAATTCGACTCCGGCCGCCGTGGATCCTCGCCGGCGATTCGGGAGCTACCGGGCATCCCCGACCTCGCCCTCGCGCTCGCTGGTTCCGCGGTGAGCCCCCGCACCGAACCCCCTCCTCCCCGTGTCCGTTTGCGCCGTCTAGGCCTTAGCTCCGCCATGGCCGAAGCTCGCCTCCGCTCGAGCTTGTCGCCGGCGTTGCTCCGGCGACCTTTTGGCCACGCCAGTGCACCTAGCACTCTCGCCGCACCTCGTAGTGCCCCGCTAGCGCTTTAGTTCGCTCGTTTGCACGCTGCAGCCGCGTCCCCGAACACAGCCGAGCTCCGACCGCCGCCGCAAGCTTGCTCCGGCGAGCTCCGGCGCCCCCGCAGCCCCCCAATCAGCTCCCCTGGTTGCGGACGAAGACGGGCTACGCCCCGGTGGTCTTCGCGCGATCAAACGCTGTCTGAAACGCAAGTCCGGCGAGTCGCCGCCGCGCTAATGGTCGCCGCCGGCCAGAACTCCGGCGGGCTGACGTGGCTTAGTTAATTAGTCACTAACCCCCCACCTACTGACGCTGACAAGTGGGCCCTAGGGCTTAGTCAAAGCTAACCAGCCCAGGTTTGACTCGGGGTTAACCCCCTGTCACTGACGTGTGGGTCCCACACGTCAGGTTTGACCCTGGACAGCCGCGTTGACCCGCTGACGTCGTGCCGACGTCATGCTGACGCAATAAGTATTTTCTGGATTTAATATTATTCAGGAAATTTCAGAAAATAGCTAAAACTTCAATAAATCATAGAAAATTAACCGTAACTCCAAATGAAATAAATTATATATGAAAAATTATCAGAAAAATTCAAGGAATCCATCTGTACCATTTTCATGCATGTTAGAACAACTTATAGCTGCTGTTTAGCACAAATCAATTAAAGGGCATTTAAATAATCACATATGGAGTTTGAATTTGAATCTTGTATTCAAACCAACTTCATTTAACTTGTTGCTAGATGCATTAGCCCAAAACACATTCATTTTGCTATGTCATGATCATGCATCATATTGTGCATTGCATTGATTGTGTTTCCTTCTGTGTTGCCGGTATTTGTCCCCTCTCGATAGACGTGATACCGAGGATGTGATCGTTGACACTGATGAAGACTCAATGTTATCTTCAGAAGTGCCAGGCAAGCAAAACCCCCTTGTTCATTCCGATACAATCCTACCCTCTCGCTTCTGCTCTCTTTTATGCATTAGGACAACACCGATTCAACTGTTACATGCTGCGGTAGTTGAACCCCTTTATCCTTTGCATGACCTGTCATTGCCACAGTAAATAGATGAAACCCACTAGCATGAGTAGGAGTTGTTTGAGCCCCGTTGTGCCTACTCATTCATGCTTGTTTGTCATGCCTGCTACTGCTTAGAGTTGAGTCAGGTCTGATTCATCGGGGATGAATCAGAGGCGTGTGAACATGTCCTACTGTGTGTGAGCTAAGTGTGTGAACACGATTTGGTAAAGGTAGCGGTGAGAGGCCATGTAGGAGTACATGGTGGGTTGTCTCATTGCAGCCGTCCTCAGGAACTGAGTTCTGTGTTTGTGATCCATGATTCAGCTACTACCATACATTGGGCCCTGAAATATGACCCCGCTCGACTTCTTATTCACCCTAGTCCTCTGTCCAGGAGTTGCAAGTAGTTTCTGGTGTTTGTAGCTTACTGGAGGCCGTGGACAGCACTGACCGTAGGGGTGGGCTGTGATGCGGTAGGTACGTGGCACGGTGTACCGGATGCCCGTTTGGTATCTCGGAAACCCTGTTCACATCGTTTGGGGCTGTGAGCGAAACTCCGGCCGGATCTCCTCATGGATGGAACCCGAATAGGCGATAAACCTGGACTAGAGACTTGAGTGTTTAGGTAGGTCGTGGTCTACACCCACGTCGGCTTTCGCTTGAAGTCTGCCGAGCACATGTCGTGTGCAGACGCTAAGTGGTGGAAACATGTATGAAGAAGTACACCCCTGCAGGGTTAACATCATCTATTCGAATAGCCGTGTCCGCGGAAAAGGACTTCTGGGTTGCTTATATCAGTTCATAGACAAGTGAAAGTGGATACTTTAAAATGCGCAAGATAAGCGTGAGTGCTATGGATGGCGTTCTCGTAGGGAGACGGGAGCGGATCCATAGTGGTGTATTGATATGGTGAATATGTGGACTCGTGTGCGCCACCTCAAAAGTTATTTGCAGTCGTAGTTCAGGTTAGCCACTGAGTCAAAGCTGGCTTGCTGCAGTCAAACTCCACCATCCCCTTTGTTGATAATGAGGCATATGTAGATAGATCTGATGTAAGTCTTGCTGGGTACATTTGTACTCACGTTTGCCTATTTTATGTTTTTGCAGAGAGACTTCGGTCTCGCTAGTAGTTTCACGTGGACTTCGACGTTTAGCTTGTTACCTCAGCTACGATCTTGTGCCCTCGGCAGGATCTGATAGATAGTCAGGCTTCTCAGCCTTTTTCATTTATAGATGTCTGTACTCAGACATGATAGCTTCCGCTTGTGCTTTGACTTGTATGCTCTGAGTGTTGGGTCATGAGACCCATGTTTGTAATATCTCGCTCCTCGGAGCCTAATGAATAAAGTACTTGTGTCGTAGAGTCATGTTGTGATGCTTCATTGTATTTGCACATATCGAGCATATTGTGTGTGTGATTGAAATGCTTGGTATGTGTGGGATCTGACTATCTAGTTGTTTATCTTTAGTAGCCTCTCTTACCGGGAAATGTCTCCTAGTGTTTCCACTGAGCCATGGTAGCTTGCTACTGCTCCGGAACACTTAGGCTGGCCGGCATGTGTCCTTCTTCGTTCCTGTGTCTGTCCCTTCGGGGAAATGTCACGTGATGAATACCGGAGTCCTGTTAGCCCGCTACAGCCCGGTTCACCGGAGTCCTGCTAGCCCAGTGCTACAGCCTGGATTCACTCGCTGATGACCGACACGTTCGATGCTGGGTCATGGATGCCTGTCCCTGTAAGTCTGTGCCGCTTTGGGTTTACGACTAGCCATGTCAGCCCGGGCTCCTTATCATATGGATGCTAGCGACACTGTCATATACGTGTGCCAAAAGGCGCAAACGGTCCCGGGCAAAGGTAAGGCGACACCCGTGGGAATACCGTGCGTGAGGCCGCAAAGTGATATGAGGTGTTACATGCTAGATCGATGTGGCATTGAGTCGGGGTCCTGACAGCGTTGGTATCAGAGCTTGACTGCCTGTAGGATTACCAAGCCAAACTGGTCGAAGTTGAGTCTAGAAATTCTTAGTTATATAAGGGAATTGATTGTGGATGGAACGTAAGGCTCTTTTTACTCCTTATACCTTATGCCCTTCTGATCTGAGTCATCTTATCTTTCCTACGGGGTTAAGGAACTAGGTGTTCTC